GCCTTAAAATGGATGTTTTCCTTATCAGATTTAAACATTGTGGAAGAACAGATCCAGTTAATCTCCCAAGCCAGGGGGGTTTGGCAGAGCAGCCTGTAAAAGAGGCCAAATTCCCGTCTCTTCCCCTGTGTGTGTAATTAGGCAGCTGTCCCCTCTGATGCATTTGGGCCTCCCCACTCCTTCCCACTGTTTGGAGGGAGTGGAGAGGGGGTGGCCCAGGACAGGGAGGTCCCTTCTCCCTCCCTCAGGCTGTGGGCCCCCCTATTCCTCCCCCAGTTTGCAGGAAGAAGCAAATCCCCAAGAGGGCCCAGCAGCTGGAGGTGTGGGGCAATCACTGAGCCATCTTCCTACAGTCTCGCTTGTCACATTACAAGCTTTAGGGTTAGAAAAAAAAATAAGATGGATGATTCTGATTTGACTTACGAATTCGAGCCAGTGTACCCAGGGCCTGACGCCCCTTGCTTTCAGCCTGCACTCTGCGGGACAGCGTCCAGCCTCAACTGGCCAGTGCAGAGCCTTCCTAACCCAATGGGCAAAGATGGGCCCTGGTCAGCCCTGCAGCATGGGAAGTCGTGTCCAGCCTCATGGATGGGGTTCAAGCCTGGGTTTCACCCTTCTTAGCTCCACGGCCTGGGGTGAGTCACTGAACTTCTCTGAGCAGCATCTGTCTGCTTCTCTGTAAAACGGGAGGATCATTCAGGCCCACAATCCAAGACACTCTGAAACCCAGAAGCTGGCACCGAAACTCATTTGGCAGCAAATGCAACATGGGGTGGCATACTATGGAAGATCTTTACTCTTCATACCTTTCACTGCAGAGTCTGGGGCGGTGCTGCCCCAGACGACAGAAGGGAACAGAGAGCGTCTATCCCTAAAACTGCAACTTCTGAATTCCAAACCATGGCTGACCCCCAGGGTTTCAGGTAAGAGATTTTGGTTCTGTCTCAGCTGGACCACAGACTTGTGACAGTGCCTGAGGGGTTTAGTGCCCTGCCTGGCATTTTACTTTTGAGGAAACTGAGGTCCATGGGAGAGCTCCTGCTCCAGGACAGTCAGCAGAAGCTAGGTCGTGAGTCAGATCTCTGGACTCCAAGCACCGTGCTCTTTCTGTGACACCCTGGCTGTGAGGAGAAAACCCAAAGGTGGCTTGTTGTGTGACCTTAGGCAGGTCTCTCGCCCTCCTTGGGCCTGGGTTTCCCCATCGACAGCAAATGAGACACTGGACTATGATTTCCGAGGGTCCTTCTGAACTTGATGCTTTTGGATTCTAATTACAAGCAACTGAAACATCCATCTGGTTGACTTTGGAGCCTATTGTCCTGGTCCATTTCAGTTTTGAGAAGACTCAGGGTGTGATGCTTATTCAACCCAGTGCCCAGGTTTTTGTTTGAAGTGGGGAGACAATGGCTTTGGGCAATTGGATCAGTTTGCCCATTTGTTGTGTTGGGAGGGCCATGGGGGGGCTGGTCCCAAGGTGTGGACAGCAATGAGGGCCAAAGGGGCAAGAGGGGTGAGCTGGGCGGGCACCGCTGGGACAGATGTGACAACTCAGTTATGTCAATTAGGCAGGGATTGGAAGAGGGGGCTTTGGGAGGTCACTGGTTATCTCCCAAGTAGTACAATATAATGAGAGCCAAGTTCTGAAGTTGCACAGACCTGGGTTCAAATTCCACTCTGCCACTTGCTTGCTTGTGACCTTGGACAAGTCCCTTCCCTAGGCCTCAGTTTACTCATCAACAGAATGGGCATCAGAACAATACCTATCTCACTGAACTGAGTGGATTCATGGGGATAAGGCACACAAAGCACTTGGTGCCATGCTGGGCACGTAGCAGGTGCTCGGGAAGTTTGGCTGTTAGCAATTCGGGAGATGCCAAAGCCACGGGGAGGGCTTTGACTGAATGACCAGTGCAAGAGATGGGACATTCTACAGGATGATTGGCAGGTCTCTTGAGTAAGCCACATAATGGAGAAAAAAACACATGTATGCACATGTGTGTATGTAGGGTCACTGTGCTAGATTAAAAGAGAATTTAGGGCTATAACAGCCAGATGTATGGTCCTGAACATGATTTTGGACATTTGGGGGCCAGCTGGGAGGAAATGTGACTCTGGCCTGGGCATTAGAGATGAAAACATATTGCAGGCATGTTGCTTAACCTCTTTGGGCCTCAGTTTCCTCATCTAAGACAATGACTGGGAATGGCACACAGTAGGTGCTAAGAGACAGCCAAGGAGCTGGTCCAAAATTGGCTGGAAGCCTGAAAGGGCTGGGAGAGGGGGTGCCTGCTAGGTCCTGGACACCAAGCTAGGTGCCTTACAAAAATCTCTTGCAGGTGAGAATGAAAACAGAGACCTTGAGAGGCAAAGGGACCGGCCCAAGCACACTCAGATAGCAGAGCCGACCCCAACCACATCTACTGACCTGCAGCCAGCTGGCAAACTCAACAGGCTGCCGTGGCCCATGGGAGATATTCCTGGGGAGAAAAATCCTCACCAACAGAAAGAACATTGGTGCGACTGCAGCAGCTTCTCTGGTGTGAATCACAATATTTGCTGCCTGTGTCTACAAGAGACCTCAGCCAGACTGGGGAAATTTTCTGCGAATTTCAGGCTGTGAGGGTGGGTGTAAAATCCACAATCAGCTGCAGAGGCTGGGAGCAGCTCCAAATGCTGACTTGAAGAATTGCTGTCCTCTGGCGGGCAAAGAGGGCACCAAGACTATGTGGCCACCTCTTCTGAGAGGAAGCTAAGAGGGTGGATAGCCAGCTGGCATTAGCTGTTTCTTGAACAGCAACCCCAGGGATCTCAACCTAAGAGGTTTGGACAAACTGGGCTAGAAACTTCTAACCAGCTCTGTGCACCATCCTGAAATTTCTGGGCTCTGAAAGACATTTAATTGTTTAGCACAGGGCAGTTATAATAATGAGAATTTATTGAGTGCTAACTATGTATGAGGCTCTGTGTCAAGACCTTTATGTGCATTTTCTCATTTAATCATCACGAGATCTCTATAAGGTGGGTATTATTATTTTCATCTTCTGGATGAAGACTGTGGCCTCCAGAGGTGGACTGGCTTGCCCAAGGTCACATGGCTAGTGGGTTGGAGAGCCGAATGGGAGCCCAGGCAGAGGTGAGCTCTCAAGCACCATGATGACATGCAGAAATGACCTTAGGAGTCATCTACTTCAGTGTCCTCAGCCCTGACCACAGGTTAGAATCACCCGAGAGCTTCAGAAAACTACCTCTGAAGGAATCTTGCTGAAATCAGTTAAATCAGAATATCTGGGGGTGGCACCAGGCATTCAGGGGTGGTTTTGATGTGCAGCTAGAACCACTGAGGCAGGCAATGAGAAGGGGTGACGCTGCAAATGCAGATTGTCTGGAAATGTAGTATCAAGGATGGGTGGTCCATATGGTGGCCAGTGGTGGTAGCTAAGGTGAGAGGCGGCACTGGCCAAGGCATGCAGGTGGCTGCTTCATTGGGGCAAGAGTAATGGTGGGCTTCTGTTCCAGGAGTAATACCTGGTCCCCAGGGAGTGAGGAAGAGGGGAAGTCTCAGTGAGCAGGTAGGTTCTGGGGGCCTGAATCCTCTGGACACCTACTCTCCTGGATTCGACACCTGCCATGGGCACCTGTGGGAGCCCCAGGGAGGCTCCTAGGCCCACTTCCCCCACAAGCTGGAAACACTCTGAACCAATACCTTTCAGCCCTGGCTGCTCATTCAAATCATGTCAGGAACTTCTGGAAAATGTCCAGGCCCAAGACCCACTCCGACCCAGTACATCAGAAGCCAGAGGAAATGCCGAGCCCAAGCATGGAAATCAGCAAGAATCGCAACGAAGCCCCGTCTACGCAGAAGCTCATCAGAGCTGAGGGGAAACACTGGAATCAGAACATCTGAGTTGGAATCCTGCCTCTGATGCTGATTGGCGGATTAGCCTTAGGCGAGTTACTCAACCTCTCTGAGCTTCGGTTTCAGGATCTGTAAAATGGGGTTGAGACTAGCAATTATGATCCAAGGCTGGGGCATATTAAAAGAGATGATGTATACGTCATGCTTAGAAGAGTGCCTAACACATGTTAAGTGCTCAGTATTAATATTGTTTTATGCATTGTTTTGTTTAAACGGCGGGGGCAGGGAACTCTCCATTAGTGATGCTGGGGCCATTTTTACAAGTTAAGCTGGGTCAGGTGTCTTTCCTATCACCATCATGTTCCTGGCAGTGACCCCAGGCAGAGCCCAAGAGAGGCCTGGTGTAGGGTGGGCAGAGCTCAGAACCGGCTCTTCAGGTCAGCTCCCACTCACCTTCTCTGTCAAGATGCTGGGAAAGATGCCAGCTGCCCCCTAGTGGCCAAGGGCAGAAGTGCACTAAGCCATTTTAACCAAATCCTGAAACCCCCGCCCTAGCCCCGCTTCCTGCCCTGCCTCTTACAGGTCCCGGGCTCCAGGAGTTTCTGTTGGCAACGTGCTAGCTACAAAGGTTTTCGATGAATTCTGCCATTTCAGAAAGAGCCTTGCTTGATTAATAATATAAAGTTCAAACGAGGCCAGGTAGGTGTCAGGCCCTGGGCTATAAACACTTGAGTTGGTTTTCTCTTCCCGGATAGCTAGTTTCAAAAAGAAAGGAATACTCCAAGACCTACAGCAGGTTTTTGTCTCCAAGGCTTATCAGTCTGAATTAATGGGTGCTCATGATTCTGGAGCTGGGAAGCTTTAACTTCATCTTTTTGGAAAAGCAGGCTGGAGCTGTGCTGCTGGGTGGAGGGCCTAGTGTCCTGGCCACCCTCTTTCCAGCCAGGGCCATCTGGGAAAACGTCGCCCCATCCCTGAGACATACAACCAAGTGACCCAGAGCCCTTCCTTCCTTCAATTTCTGAAGAGCTCCCCTGAGAAAGTGGCTGGAGAAGGGACAAGGACATGGGAGGCAGGTGTAGGGGAGCTGGAGACTACCAGACCAGACCCTCACCCTTTTTTCCAGACACAGAGGGAAGCACTGTTTACTCAAGAGCTCTTTACTCCCCCTTTGCCATATTTTCTGCAAACCCCTCAGATACAGACTGGAAGAAACTGCACATCGACCCTGCTTTCAGTCAACCTTTGGGCCGCAGGACAGAAGGAAAGACCACCGCCCCAACACTAGACTATGAGGAAGCCCACAGTCGAGAGCAGGCCATGCAAATTGCTGAAGGTTTCAAAAAGACTGCAGGTGTGAAGGAAGAAAGGAGGAACAAGGGGCACCCTGCGAGTGATCAGAGAGGTTTCCTGAGAGACAGGTGGAAATGCAGAGATGGAGTAGAGAGAAGGCACGCTGCTCCAGGAACCTGACCCCTGCATCTGAGCATCCTGCCGGGTTGGCCAGGAGTCTGAGGTAAAGGCAGAGGCCCAAAGTGAATGGGTCTGGCAGAGCCACAGAGAGGACAGGAAAGAGCAGCACATCATGTCTCAGGTCTGCAGTCTCCATGGACCCACATGGCACCACTGTCCGGCCGGCTCGGGAGAAGGCAGAATACAGACCATGTCTTCTGGGCAGCCCAGCCCACAGCAAGTTGCAGGTCCCACCACTGGGGCTGGAGGGGCACAGCCAGAAGGAGGGACATCAAAGGAGGCTGGAGCTTCTCTGTTGGCGTCAGCAGCATGGGCTCATTTCAGAGGCCATCCAGAGCTTGCCGGACCGGGGCATCCAGGGAGGAAGACGAGTGGATGGAGATGCCAGGGGCACCAAGGCTGGTTTCCCAGCAGTCAAACCCATAACTGATCAGCGCCTGCTTTGCAGCCTCCACCTTTGGACCCTCCAGATCTGTGGGGAGGGAAAGCAGCAGGTCACCCCTGACAACTGTCCACTCTCTTGGAGAACGTTTGTCCCAATTCGAGGAACAGGTGGGCTCTCAAGTCACCTGGCCTTGTCACATATCAGCTACAGGGACTCAAACAAGTGACTTCTCTTGGAGCCTCAGTCTCCTCATCTGGTAATGGGGCTGATAATGTTATCTACTCCCCAAGGGTCACTGTGAGGATTATATGGGTCAGTGCAGGTAAAGTGCCTGTCACAACACCGTGTACACCGTACATGCTTAAGAAATGTTCTCTCTCTCACCATTGTCATCGACTCTGAACTAGCATAGCAACCAGTGGTCAAGGCCTGCTGAAGTTAGGATGTGATGACTTCCTGAAGCCTGGGAGTCCCACTGGGGGTAAGGGGAGGTCTCTGGGGCCACTGTGGGCTTACTGCAAAGTGAAGGAGAAAGGCAAAAAAGAAAGGAGGTACAAGAGAGATTGAGAGAAAGGAGACCAAAAGGAGTGGGCAAAAAATACAGAAGGAAATGGAGGTGGGCAGGAGCATTTAGTTCCAGGTCAGGATGGCAGTGTGGTATGTTAGTGACTGAAGACTACTAGGAGCCCCTTGCTGTCCCTGGGCCTTGCTCTTTCCCCAAAGACTAAGGGGAAAGAAACCCCTTTGTTTCAAAGCAGGTTAGTCCCCATCCTGGCCACATCAAGAAGTGACAGTAGGGGGTTTGAGGCTGACATGGGTGGTGACAATGTATTGGTTATTTCTCGAGCTTGTTGGTGGCTTGGCAGGTAAGAAGGTGGTAGAAACAGCCACCAGAATACGAGCTTTTACCACAGTCCAGCCCTGTGCCAGGCTCTCTCAAAGTATTTTTTCTCCTTGAATCTGGACAATAATCTTATAAACTAGATGTCAGCATCCTTAGTTTACCAATGCGGCAACAAAATCCCAGAGAGATAAATTACCTTGCCCGAGGCCACAGAGCAGAGGCAGGACTTGTTTACAGGCCTCTTCCTCCTCTCACAGGAAATGCCCAGGTAGAACTTCTGTAGAACCTAGGCTGGCAACCCTACCCACCCCCAAGTACCTGGCCTGAGGAGTGTGATGCCACAGCCACCACAACCAGCACCAGTGAGCTTGCTGTGCAGTCCATGGGCCATGGTCATTTGGCAGAGCTGGTCCAGGGAGGTGTGGCCCAGACCAAGGGCGTTCAGAAGGTGCTGGTTCATGTCAATCAGCTCCTGGAGGAGAAGATTCAGTCTGTTCTCTCCCGGCATGAGGCCGAGGTCCTGTGCTCGCCCCGTCCATCTGACAGCCATTGATTAGGGACAGCAAATGGCTTTGACCACCTAGCATAGGGCCCCTCTCTGTTGGTAAAAGAACCTCTCCTTCCTGTAGGACTTTCCATAGGGCTGAGATGGGGCTGGCCACAGAAGCCTCTGGCCATGGTGACTGGTCAGGGATGGGCATGTGGGCCAATCAGGGCCCTCCCAAGGTTTTCTCTGCCTCTTTCCACTAAAGTTGTCACACCTGGTTGACTTCAGAGGTAAGCTGCCAGAGTTATCTACTTTGCACAAGGTCAAAGATTACATAGAAGACGAAGAGAGATTTCAGACCAGGTTGTCTTGGCCCCTAGATTAAGCTATGACTGAAGCTATTCCCTCTGGTGTTCTCAGTGATGAGCCGATAAATTCCTTTTCTGGTTGGGATGGATTTCTGTCATTTACAGCTGCCTCAGGTACCAATATTCAGAATAAAACCTGGTTTGCAGTTCCAGCAAGGTCACACACAAGTAGGGGAAACAGTTCAGGTTTCTCTGATTATGCATAAAATTCATTCTCTTCTGAGGATCAAATGTTGATGAAGTAACAAAACTAAGAGCTGCCACGGCCCAGGCATGCCCCTACTTACGTTTCATTTACTCCATCATTGCTTGCCAAATACCTACAACATGCCCGGCTGTGGTTCCTGCCATCGAGAAGTTAGAATGTGGGATCTGGAGTCAGGTGGGCCTGGGTTTGAGTCTCAGCTTGGCCACTTCATGGCTGTGTGTCCGTGGGCACGGTCTTTCACTCTGAGCCCCAGTTTCCCCCCTTGTAAAACAGGGATGGTAAGAGGAAACGCCTCATTGCCGTGAGGCAAATGAGGTGAGTCTTCCATGCAACACCTGGCAAGAGGTCAGTGCTAGGCAATAGCAGCTGCTATTATTAGTAATTTTATGATTATACCATTGTCTCCACTTTACAAAAGAGGAAACTGAGGCTCAGAGAGAAAAGGTACTTGCCTAAGGTCACTGAATTAGTAAGGAACTGAGCTGGCACTGGAAGCTGGGTCTGCCTGACGGGAAGCCTGTGACTACCCTGCCTCCAAGAGTGCCCTCGGCATCCTGCTGCCACCCATCTGCACTGTTCAGCATGACAGCACACAGCTCTGCTCCAGGGTGCTGGGAGTGCCTGTGCGCCATGAGGACTGCCAATCACCAGCTGTCCGCAGAAGCCGACCTGGTTCTCCTGACCAGGGAGCTGGGCAGGGTGGGGTCAGCCCTTCCCTGCAGCCTGTCTCATATACACCCCGGCACTTCTGACAAAAGAGCAGACAAGCACGATGGCCCAATGGCAGCCCCATGTGCCTTTCAGTGGGCCCGAGGGCTGGATGTGAGGGAAAACTTCTGGGGGCCTGTCTCTGCGCTTGAGCGCCAGGTGTCACATTGCCAAGGCAGGTTCCAGACACCTGTCACATTCTGATCCAAAATCTGTCAAGGATCGGATGACAGGTTGTGACATAGGAGAACAGCTCGCTGGTTTGAGTGCAAAGCTGTCCGGGAGTCGAGCTGCACATTTCAGCGGCTGCCACAGCCAAAAATACACACAATGTATAATCAACGAGCTGTTCTGGGGTATTCTCCGGGGGCTTAACAGGGTGTATTTTAGGCAGTACTCTATCATTATTAATTTCCTACTCAGGAGGACTGTGTTCCTTCCTTCCTACGTGAAGGGAATTGAGAGCCAGCAAGGCAAAGGCTGGGTCAAAGAGAGCAAAACGCAGGAATTGGGTGGAGTCTCTGCACCTGGCTCAGAGTAGGTGCTCATTAAAGACTTATTGACTACAGGAATAAGTCAGTTTGACCCCCGGCTCAGCCACTCACTAGCTGGAAAACGTTGGAGAAAGTTGCTCTCTTTAGACCTCAGTTTTTAGATCTATAAAATGGGGCAACATACCTATTTCACAGGTAGGTTGTTGTAGGGATCAAATGAGAAATCATTTGTGAAAAGACAGAGAGTAGCAGCTTCCATTCATTACAGGGGCTGTAGACTCGAATGCCTACAGTGGGAGAGGGAGACACCAGGCAAAGACTGTACTGGCTGTGGGTAATATGTAGGAAGTGGTGGGGACTGAGGAGAAATAATGGACACCACAGGAGGCCCCTTGTGCACTTTCTAATAGACTGCCACTGCACGGCCACGTCGGCTGGGGCTACCCGATCCTGTGATTCAAGAGAAGCCACATGACTTTTTAATGTCAGCTCACCAGGCCAGATGGACCACATCTGAGGATGAGGCGCTCTGGCTTACTGAGCTGGCATTTCCTCAGGCATTGTGCTTATGCATTACCCACGGGACCTCACTGCGTTCTTAAGACACTCCAGGGTATGAGGCCAGAATTAAATCCAAAGCATGAGGTCTCAGGCTCTACACTAGAATCATGCAAAGGGTGGTGGCTGGGGTAACGATGATGAAAGCACAATTTTGGACTATGTCTGATCCAAAGCGTGTGGGTGATAAATAGTTACTGAATGAACACACAGTTAGCAAAAAGAGCAGGGAAGAGGCTGCCAGGTAAGAAATCATCCCTGGACTCATGGAAGACTAAGTCAGCAATAACCCGGTGCTCCTTCCACGTGTGACCCCAAACCCGGTCCGTCATGCTTAGCTCGTACTAGGCACCGCCCTCAGCGCTTTCCATGTATCCTCTCACTTAATCACTCCAATCCCCTAGGAAGAGGCTTAAAAATAAGGCACACTTGCTTGTGTGCATACACACAGGACCTCGGGTCCAGGCCTGGCCCCTGGAGATTCTCAGTGTAGTCAGACTAGACATCCCTTGCCTCAGACAGTGGTGCGGGTGAGTGACCCTGGGTCTTACTTCCAGCATGAAGTAGTGTTCCAGAGCTGGGGCCGTTGCCATCTCTCCCAGCACTCGCTCGCACTCCAAAGAAATGGCATTTATGGAGGTCAGGAGGGGTGCCACGATCTCTGGGAACTGGAGGGAAAGGAGCAAAGACCTGTGAAACCTAGGAGCAGGCAGGCGCTGGGCAGCTGCCCTGGAAATGGGGTGGAGGGAGGAGGTATCCCCAAGGCCCACACCCACCCTGAGGAAACGTCCTCTCCTTCCGGCCTGGTCTCTGCCTGGTCCAGATGCCCAACATACATAGGGGATGCTTGCTGCAAAGCTGGCATGTCTTATGACCCGTCCCACCTCCCAGCTAGAGTATGAACAGACAGCACCTCTTTTTCTGCCCAAACTGCCTCCCCATCCCACCCCTCCACTAACGCATGGGGCAGGGGGAGAGCTCCAACTCGCACACATGACTGTCGTGACTCGTGAGACACCAGCCCAGGGACAGGCAGGAAGCACCTTGAGTAGCCTGTTGCTGACGCTGGCTATGATAGCCTTGGTGCTGCGAGAGACTTTGGTGTGGGTCAGCAGGATCTTCAGAGATTGGGGCCTGCAGGGTGAAGAAGGTCCACAGTGAGCTTAGGATGGAGGAGCTGGGTCAGGGCTGGGGCTAGAAACAGTTCGGAGGGGCAAAGGCTCGTGACACTGAGCCCAATGTGCCTGCAGCCAACCACAGCTGTCTCTGCTTTAGCCCTGCGGTGGATGATCACTCAGCTCATCATTCACTCATTCACTTTTGACTGGGCACCTATATGTGCTGGGCACATGTGAGGGCCTAGCCTTGCCTGGGGGTGATAGAGCATGGCATATTCACGGAGTAAGAAGTTCGAAGTCTCTGCAGTAAAGAGTACAAGAAGGGGCTGAGGTTCTGTCATGTGAGCTGCCCCAGAGAACTGGAGTGGAGGGTGCTATATATTTAGAAAGAAAAAGCAACAGGTCCTGGATGGATCGCAGAGAGGGCGTGCGGGGAGGGAAGACACCCAGGTTAGCTGGCGCACTCAACACAGGAGCTCGAGGGAGGGCAGGCTTGCAGAGGAGTCAGGTCCCCAGCACACTGAGCCCATTCTGCTCCAAAACCAGATGTGGTAAGAGGGAGTCAGCTGTCCTCGCCGGGATGCCCCAGGTAAGAGAACAAAGGGTCAGGGAGGCCACATTAAGCCGGCTCTCCGGCAGGGCCCCATTGTCCTCATCTGCCCTCTGAGCTTTAATCCCTCCTAAAGCCACAATCCCAATTGTCCCTGTGGTTAACTGTCTTTGGGGACTCAAGCCTCTTTTTCTTGTCATCTCAATTTGCCTTTCAGAGGGCTACTAGCAGGGACAGAGGGTGGAGACTTTAGACGAGCTCTGGCCTGAGACTGCTGGGGATAGGCAGACCCTTTGATACCTTTATTCGCTTTTCTTTTCACAGCTCAAGATTGTAAAATCCAATAGGGCTGGAAAAGGCTGCCAGAAACCTGCTTGATCTCACCGCCCATAAACCCATGAAATTAATATCGATTCTCAGCCTTGGAGGCCAGCTCTTTTTTTTTTTTTTAACTTTACAAAAGATGAACATTCTATTTGGCTTTTCTCTTCCCTTTAAAGACAAGTCGTTTCTCAAAAGAGCAGTGTTCTGGGAGGCCGCATCTTGATCCACTTTGCAAACAATGCATTTATTTTATAGAGAAGCACCATGCGTGGAGCCCTTACGAAAGGGCTTCTCCATAAGCCACTGGCGGGATTAATGTGGTCTGGCCTCTGTTTCTCAGAGAATCCACCATCTGCTCACCGCGGGGCCCTGCAGCCAGCAGCAAAGGTCAGTTTGCTCTGTTCCCATGCATTGGGGCGGGAGGAGTTTGGGTACTGCCTCTTTGTCTTTTTTAGATAAGTCCTCTGCCACAGGCCTCCTGCCAGGTCCACAAAACCCTGGGCTCCTATGACATCCTGTGACCATCACCTTGGGCTATGCCCCCTTGTGTGTGTACTCCACCTGGCTACCACCCCAGCCTCATCTATCTCCGCCTTCCCTGGGTGCTTGCTCCACTCAGCCACCCTGGCCTCCTGGCTGCTGCCCAGAAGGCCAAGCACACTCTTGCCCAGGGCCTTTGCACTTGCGTTTTCCTCTGCCCAGGACCCACCCCCATCCTCAATAGCCCCATGACTCACTCTTGTATTTCATTCAGGTCTCTGTTCAGAGGCCTCTACTGATCATCCCATCCAACTAGCTCCCTCCTTCACCTTGAGCCCCTTGCCCTGCTTTGTTTCCTAAAGGCACCTAGGACTGCCTGACATGCTCTTAAAGAGCAATTTATTTGTTGATTGTCTCCTCCCACAAAATGTGAATTCTCTGATGGCCAGGACCTTTTGTTCCCTGCTGAGGCCCTAGCACCCAGTACTTGCTCAATAATATTTCTGGAACAATGAATAAACTTGGTCAGCAAAGAACTAAGAACTTTATAGACACCATTTATTTCATGCTCAAGATCCCCACTGTATAAATGAGATGGAAGCCTCAACAGTGACTCATCCAAGGGTACCTGGCTGGCAAGTGGCAGAGCTAGGCTCGAACCCAGGCCTACGGTCCCCAGGGCCTCTGTCTACACCACCACAAACCAGCCCCTGAGCATGCCTCAGGGCCTCTCCCCATCCCCCCAGCCTTGGAAACCCTCCATAATTCATTTCTTAATTCCCCCTGGGAGACTGCACGTGCCCAGGCCCCATCTTAATTGGTTTTCTATCCCAGGGGACCCAGTTCAATGCTTAGGATACAACTAGCACTCAGGAAAAACTGAACGAATGAAATGCCACTGCCTCTATGAAGCACCCCCAAATCTGCTGCCTGACTTATGACGCCCCTCACTGTCATCGAGCAGACTGAGAACTCTTTGAATGCCTTCCTTCTGAAGGTTACAGTTGTGACTGCCACCTCCCAAAGACTGTTAGTCTAAGGGCGGGCCTGGGCCCAGACATTTCGGAATCTGCTCACTCCTGCACATGGATTCAGTATAACGGGCAGAGCCAGCTCCCACTTGGGCCTTGAAGCTCCACTGCCATCGACTCCACAGGCAGCCAGAGGAAACTGTGCCGCACTCCTCAACGGCTCTGCCTCCCCATCTGTGTCAAGCAGAGGTAGTCACCCAGGGGGATTTTGCCCTCTAGGGGACATATAGCGATGTCTCGAGCTATTTTTGGTCATTACAAATGGAAGATGGGGACAGGTGCTACTACTGGTATCTAGTGGGTAGAGCCCAGGGATACCGCACAAGACAGCCCACTATAAAGAATTATCCAGCCCATGATATTAATAGTGTGAGATTAAGAAACCCCAGCTCTTCCCATAAACAGCCCCTTAGTGACCTCTGAAAATGGTTCACTATTCACTTGACCCAGAAAACCCCACAAAATCATGCGAATCAAGAGGTTCAAATCTTCATGTTCACTTTAAGAATACTTAAAACTGCCCAGGCCATCAAGGGTATGCATATCCAAAAGCCACCAAGTATCTGAAGGACATCACTTTACAAAAGCAACGTGTGCCATTCTGTCATTACAATGTTGGAGCTGCTAGGTGTGCCCAGGCCAAACTACGGGGGCTAGATGCAGGGTCAGTGGCCCAAAGAGTGCTGCATCTTTGCTGCACATGTTTAAAAACGCAGAGAGGAATGCTGAACTTATGGATTTAGATGTAGATTCTCTGGTCATTGAGCACAAAGCTCCCAAGATGCGGCTCAGAACCTACAGAGCTCGTGGGTGGGTTAACCCCTACATGAGCACACTCTTCCATATTGAGACGATCCCCGCTGAAAAAGAGCAGACTGTTCCTAACCCAGAAGAGGAAGTTGCACAGAAGAAAAAACTGAAGAAACAAAAACTTATAGCCCGGAAGTAAATTCGGCATCAATAAATGCTAATAAAAGTAAACAAAACAAAACAATGAAGAGCCTCAGAAAGGCAGGCTTGGCTCCTGGAAGCCAACATAGCTGGGACAGGAAGATCCCAGAGGTACGAGGGTGCCAGCACCATGTCATCCCAGGTCACTGAGGTACTAACAGTGGCCTAGCTGGTGACGGCACAGGCCAGGATCTGCTGTCCATCCTCAAAGACAGCCCTGGGACCTGTACAGCTATAGAAAGGCCCACAGTGGTGACAAAGTGCCCTGAGACAAACACCATCACTAGACGTGATCGAGGACTCAGGGAACAGCCAAAAAGCACCCACTCCTGCTTGTCCCATTCTTCATTCCCCACATCTGACATTTCCACTCTGAGTACAAACAGAATAGAAGATACTGAAATTTAATATGCATGTTTGTAATTCCAGTTACAACAAAGGGAGGAGGTAAAGAAAGCATGTAAAACAGGTCGAAAGTTGCCAAATGTCACCTCTGTTCTAAGCCTTTCTTAAGCTTCCCTCGGTCTCCCATCCCGGTTCTGCCTTCCGTGCCCTCATTACAGCAACTCTCATATTGTCTTGTGGTGGCTTTTGTGTGCATGTCTGTCTCCACCCACCCAAAACTGTGTCTAAGATTTATCTTTATATCCCTAGTTCCTAGTACAGTGTCATCAGGAACACATAAGATATCAATTCTTGTTTGCTGAATGAATAACTAAATGAACAGCCACGGGTCTGGGGGGAAAGCCACAATCTACAAGGTGAATGGCACAGCCATGCATGACTTCCCCTTTAATCTCTTGACAATTTAAGAGCTGAAGTGCAGAAGGAAAGAGCAGGGCAGGGCTTCCTCACTGCCAATGGCCTATGAGGGTGACATCCAGCGAGAGCAAAGCCCAGGGGCACCTGGCCCACGTGTTACAGAATAAAGAAACAGAGCTCCCCGACTGGACACAGCCAGGCTGGAAGGTGCTGCTCCACCCTAGAATTACCTCTTTAAGGATGAAATCTTTCCTTGTTGGTATCGGAGTGCTCCTCCTAAAGAGAAAAACCAGCGGGTCAGAAAAGCTACAGATCTTTGCCTCTTGGGATTGGATTCTGGGGTCGGTTTGAGTTTCACACCATCCAGGGAACAGACGGCAACTACCAGCTCAGCTTCAGCTACAAAAGGCTCAGGAAGGCACCAAGGCATTCCATGTTCTGCCAGGGAGTGCTCACCAGCACTCCGTTCTAGGGTCACTCCCTTCTAGGGTCACTCCCTTCCCTCCAGGCTGTCTGGCTCCACATGGTGAAGTGATAAAGGTGGGGCCCAGGACCATGCCTAGGTCCAATAAGAAAGCACCCCCACCATAGGGAAGCTCAACTTGTGCGGTCTGCAAACGCCACAGCAGTGGTTCTACAGCTTTACTTACCGACTTCCCTGGGGAGCTCCCTAGCACTGTAGCTTTCCAGGCCTCAGCCCCACCCCACCCTACCCCATCCCACCTAAGATCCAGGTACAGGAAGTGTGAGGCTGAGATCTCTTCCATTCCCTTTAAAACAGAAAAATGCTATTTTTCTCAGAATCCATTGTTTCTGTTCATCCCAAATCAACAGAACCTGGGCATCTAAGAATCTTAATAATAAAAATAAAGAAAACAAGCCTGAGGCAGCACCTACCCCAGGTGCTGACAGAGTTGTCCACTCCAGAGGGGTTGCCATGAATCACCCTCTCCCCCTGGAAGGCCCACTTGTTAATTAATTCCAAATCTTCCGCTGCCCACCTGAAGAAGACGGAGAAACTCATCTTTATCACAGTGGTGAGTGGGGGCCAGTGGTCCCCTTGAGCAGCAGAGGCAGGGGCCCTGGATAGGCTTGATGGAAACCAAAAGGCCATGGGGCTTGGGCCCTCAAACTCAGATAGAGAAAACAGCTTGGAACCTCTCCAGCTAAACCACAAACCATACCTTCTCTTCCCTCCAAAACCTCCCTGCCTGGCACTGTGGAGCGAGCCCCAGCTTTGGGATCACAAGGTCCTAGTTTGCCTCTTACTGGCTGAGTGACTCTAAGCCTGTTACCTAACCTTTCTGAATCCCACTCTCATCTGTAAATGGTTAACTCCAAACTCTACCCTCTTCAAAGGCTAGTGGCAAGGTGTCCACGAGCAGCAGGCAGGAGCTATTACTATAACAGACCCTTACAGAAGCATCCACTCCTGAACCAAGCCAGCCCTGAAGAGCAAGCAGAGGGATGACTGTTTCCCAAAGCCCTGCCAACAGGCCAAATGCACAATCATTACGAATTATAATTCCAGACAACCTTGGTGAGCCAGGTTTGCTCCAGCCATCTCTGGATCTCTCCCACGCAGCCACTCTGCCTTCCTTGGAAGAGGTGTGGGCTCATTGACAGTTTTAAGCAAACAGACACCAAATACGTGAGTATCTAATGAGGACAATCAACCCCAATCCCCTATCCTTTTCTCTCGGCTTCTGTTTCCTTTCTGTTGATTCCCTTCCCTATGAAACAGCAGAAGGCAATGGTGGTTTGGCAGTCTCTGCTAGTGCCACAGGAGTCTTCACAGGAGACTGGATTCCAGCGCCTTCTGATTCGGAAATGCTGGGGGTGGGGGTTGGGACCCGCTCTCCCCCAAAGGTTCTGAAAAGGAACGACTGGGTCTTTAGGGAAGGTAGAGAACTAGTGGAAAGGAAGCAGCCTGAAAAAGCCCATGCACACACACAGACACACAACACAAACGAGTCACCCTCTGCTTTCTAGTCTGTTGGCCTGTCGGTAGGTATCTATTCAAGGGACCCAGGCAACCAAGCCTTCACTGATCTGTGTTATAGTCAGCGATTAGTGCATAGTGATGAGCAGCTGCCACAGAATCAAGGCTGGAAAGCCCCCCAAGGGACCATCTAGTGTAGCCCTGCACTTTGAGAGGAGGAAACGGGAGCCCCAAAGAGAAAAAGGGGTTGCCCGAGGCCACACAGCAAGTTAGCAGGCAAACCAGATCGAAATTCCTGAAAACCATCACCTCCCATTACCTACAGCTGCAGTCTCATTACCTACTGGATTCTGCCCCTGACCAAAAACTCCCTACCCCACCCCTCCTTCGCTCTATGCACAGGAACCATTCAAAGTGACTCGGGAATGACGACAGAGATATGATATCAAAAGCCCCGAGACCCACTGTATCCACGAAGACCAAAGCAACCTTTGGGCTTAGTCTGAATTCAACTATATTTTAACCTCTATGTCTCAAAAGAATTACTGACGGTGACAGAACTTTAAAAGGGCACGCACCAGGGCCTGAGAAAACAGAAAAGCACAGCGTTTTCGGGGCAGAGAAAGAAAACCTCAATTCAAAGCCAAACTCAGGAAGGGGCGGGGCTCCTCAGCCACAGGCCAGCGCCCCATGTTCTTTGGGGTCCCTCAGCAGCGGACACAGAGGGCACAAGAGGAGTCTCTGGGCGGAAACACAGCTGCTCCCACTCTGGCAGCCAGCACTGTCTGAGCAGCCTTCTCTTCTGCTGGTTACACGAATGAGGCCAGCAGTCCACCCAACACAGCACGGCTGGGCTCCACGTGGCTGGGACTAAAGGATCCCCGTGGGAGGGCTCCCCCAAGCCATCTAGATCAAGGGACAGGCCTCACTACAAAGCTGCCAAGCTGGCTTCTGAGGCCTCATTCACAACTCCTGGGGTGAGGCCCAAGGCAAATTGCATAACCTCTGTACTCAGGGTGGTGTTCTCAAGGAGTAGCCTCCAAGCGACAGAAACTCTGCCAGCAACCCTGTACTGACAAGCCTCACTAATCACAGTGAGAACTGCACAGAAGTACACTCCCTCTGTAGAGACAGGTCAACGACCTAAAGGAGGGGAGGTGCCCTTATCTGACAGACACACCTCCTGTGCTTATTTCTGGGCACATCATAATTCTTTTCATAACCATCTGGTATGACCTGGCAATATCCACACCAATGTTAGTACTACAATTTACAGAGGAGCCAAGGGGTGCAGCAGCTCGGCCGTGGTCCCACAGCGAGTCAATGGCAAAGCTGAGCCCAATGCCTCATCTAACCTGTTGCCCTCTACATCTGGGCTCAGGTTCTCTCTACCATACCACAAGCACTTGAACCCAAAAGAAGCAAGGTGGAGGTGAGAGGTGGGGGTCTGGGGAACTAACCTGGTTAGTGTAGGAGGAAATGACTGCGTTCAAATCGCACTCTGCCATCACTAGTTGTGTGGCCTGGGCCAGCCTTTGGCCTCTCTGTCCCTCGGCTTCTTCTGTAAAATGACCACGTGACACCTCACAGGACGGTGGTCAGCTCTCAGTGTGAGAACCCATGCTCAGATCATGGACCACAGGAAGGACGACGAGCAGGGAAAGGGCCATGATTACCTGCTGGCACCCTCCTCTTCTTTCAGCGGGTTTGGGATCTCCTCGCAAGCAGTCAGGAGGGCAGCTGCCAAACACACGGAGTAAGCGGCACTGGAGCCCAAGCCGGCCCCGGGGGGCAGCTCTGACCATACTGTGATGTCCAGGCTGGGCAGGGCCCTGAAACACAGAAGGGCACAGAGTGACTCTCTGGAAGGGCAGTGAGGTGCCACAGTTGAACCAGTAGCCCAGGCCCAGGAGTGGACATTGGCGGGGCCTGACTCTAAGTGTCTGGCCCAGTTTTCTGAACTTGGGGCGATTTCCTGAATCGAAAAGCATCCCTATCAGGAACTTGTGAAATTAGACAACTTGAAAACAGTAGAGTCATTTAAATTGCTGTGTTGTCCAACCAGTGCTCTTCCTAAAAGTGCCTCGTGAACCACCAACCATTTCTCCAAAATCCTTCCTGTTCCCCATACAAGCGAGGCTCTCTCATGGCCCTGCTCGTAGCACAGGCTGGTCCCTCTGCCCAGGATAGTTTTGCATCTCTTTCTACCCTGGGGAAATTCCTACCCATCCTGCGAGAACCTTCTCAGATGTTGTTCCCACTGACACTTCCCATGACTAACCAGAGGCCGTTCCCAGCCCCTTCCCACCACACACATGGCGCTGGGCACCCAGTGCCCGCTTAACTAGTGTCTGCTGTACAAGTGAAGGGCTGCCCCCTGAGCTTTCCCTTTGGATTCTGGACCAAAAAATCATAGTGATGACTCACTGTGAGCCAGTTCACATACAGCTGACCCTAGAACAATGGGGGTATTAGGGGCACTGACCCTGACCCGCAGTTGAAAATCCAAGTGTAACTTAAGTCGGCCTTCTGCATCCCCAGATGTGAAACCTGAGGGATGACTGTATATTTATGGAAAAAGAACCCATGAATAAGTAAACCCACATAGTTAAAAACCAGGGTTATTCAAGGGTCAACTGTATAATATTTCTAATTCTCCAACAGTTTTGAGGAAAATAATAACTACAACAATAATGGCTAATATTTATCAAGCAATGTGTCAGGCTGTGTGTGAAGCCCTTTAGATAAATGAACTCATTTAACCTCACAAGAACGCTACCAGGTTGATGCTACTACTACCCCTCTTTTACAGATGAGAAAACTGAGGCTCAGGAAGGGTAAGAACCTCAAGCAAGACAGCACGTGGCCATGCTGGGGTCTGAACCAAAGCAGCCTGACTTTCAGCACATGTTCTCTATCACTGTGTTACACCGCCTCAACAGGACCGTCACCGTCTAGCAGCTGGCTTTCTCAGATCCTATCGTAAGGAGTGAAGTGGATACAGGCTTCACTCTGCTAATTGCAGCATTTCCCCAGGGCCTGTGGGAACAAGGGTGCCTCCATGGGCATGGTGTAGGAGAAGCCACAGTGAATTCAAGAATGGAACCTGGCTTGGGTTCTTCTGAATCGAAGAGGGAAGAGGAGGCAAAGTGGGGTTAAGAATGTCAGCGTAAGGATTAAAGTGAACTGAGTTGATCCCCAGCTCTACTACTAACTAGCTGCATGACCTTAAGTGACCTTATCTGTGTCTCAGTTTCTCCCTGTGCAAAATGAGATCAATGCCTCTCTCATAGGGTTGCTGTGAATATTATAAACAGACCATATATAAAGTGCCTAGTATGGTGCCTGACACACCGTGAGACTGCTGGTGGCTGCTGTTATTAGAAACCTGGAAGGGAGCGTGTGCATTCTTCAGCAGCTAAAACTAGAGAAACCCTTGCCCATTTTCCAACGAAGGCTGAACCGAAACTCTGCGCCCAGACCACACACACACCTCTGCTTCCGGCAGATGGACAGGTACAGGTAAAGGAAGGCCAGCACAGCCAGGCGCTCGTGGTTAGCACAGTCCTCGGGGAAGCCTGCCACCTCCTTTAGCTTTTCCATTTGCTCTTCGGTCAGCACTGTGAAGTCACCTTGCTCTGTCACACAGGGAGACAAGCATGCATGGGTGGGTGAGAGCCTCGGGTGCTTTTACAGACAACAGAATACAAAGAGCAACCATGGGAATCGGAATCTGGATGGACATGGACTCACTGACCCAGCACCACAGCAGAAGTCCTTCAGTGGACTTTAGGCTTTGGAGGCATGCAGACTTGGGTTTGGGTCATGACTGTGATACTGACTGGCTTTGTGGCCTTGAGCAGGTGACTTAACCTCTCTGAACCTCTGTTTCCCTCTTTGGTAAACAGAAATAACGACAGTAACTCCTCTCACAAGGTTGTCATGACGATAAAGTTAAATAAGGTACATAAATCCTTAAACATCTCTGGGCACGTAGTAAGTGCTTAATTAACAATAGTTTAACAACACATACACACACAAAATGAATGCCAGCTCAATCACCAAAGGCCTGTGTTTGACTTCCATGATAAAAAACCAATACCAAAAGCAGTATTACATCATTCCCCAAATACTTCCCTTTCTCAAAACATAATTAGCAAGAACAAGACATCCCAATAAAACCAATGAACATGAAATGTGGAGATCTGTTTGGGCAGGAGGGAAAGGCCAGGTAGCAGTTTCTCTTCCAATGCATGTAAGAGGTTGGAGCACCTTCACCTGAGAGGCTGAGGAGGCAGAGCAAGTCTGACCAGTTTACCTTCACAAATCACTCCCTGAATCCCATGTCAAATTCTAAAGGGACATGAAATTGAGCTGGGTGTACCTGTGTTGGGAGACTTCAGGGTAGGGCATGTATTAAGTGCTATGTTTTGACTAAATTAATGATACAGTAAAAGGCAGCCAAGCCAATGACAGTATTACCGAGAGTCTAGACATTTCAGAGCTCTGTGATGGAAATGGAATGGTTCTTTAAGAACCTGGGCTCTGTAGTTTAGAAAGATCTCGGTCTGAATCTTTTCTGTATCACCAACAAGCTGTACAACCTGAGACACCTGGCCCCTGAACCTTAATTTTCTCAGACATAAAATGGGGATGAATAACACCACTTGCTTCCAGGGAAGGCTGGAGAATTCTAAAAGTGCTAGCATAGACAACATAGTAGTTCAGTGCCTGAAATACTTAAATGTCCAATAAATGTTCACTATTTATTACTATTAGGAGGGAACCAAAGAACACTGAAAGAAAAAAAAATGGCAGATTCTTGCAACCAAATAGAAAACATTAGTCTCCAAAAGGCTCAGATACCGTTTGTCTCCTTGGAGAACTGATGTGCCCTCATGTATGTACTACCTTCTGCATCACAGCCCTAGGCCTACCTCCAATCCTGTTGGATCCTCACTGCCACCCCCTCAGGCAACACAACTCTGCTGACACAGGCTCAGAGAATTAAGTGACCTGCCTGCCCAGGCTCACATAGCCATGACCCATCACACCTGGGTGCTTCCATCCATGCTACAGACATACAGAAGCAGCAGCCAGTTCTCAGGGAATATTTCTGGCCTGGTCCAGAAAGCAAGGTCTGGGTTGCTCTGGACAGATATTTTCTGAGGCATGCTCCAAATCAGTGGCTCTTAACTGAGAGGTCCCAGGGGAACCCTTTCAAAATATACCTCCCCATCCCTACCACCACTTCTGATTCTCAATAAGAGAAGGGCAGCATCGGGAATTCATCTATATTGTTACGAACAACGACAACAACAAACCTCCCCAGGGATTCTCAAGGCAGGACTGAGGCTGAAAATGGTAGCTTGAAAACAGGGCTTTTCCACTCTTACTCCATATTCCTATAGTATTTGGGAGTGGCTTGCTGTAGACTGATTCTTATAGGGGACAGGGAACAGTTTGGGATAAAACCCTGGAGGATTCTCACTTGCCCCACTATGGCTGAGAAACACTGTACCAAACAATAAGAAGAGACAGCAACAGAACCCACATTTCAGCTCTGATGCAGGTGATGACTCCGCTGATGGAAAAACTTTGCCTGCAGATAAGTGGACGTAATATTCTCAAAGCTATCAAAAATTAGCACAGAGGTCTTTATTCATTGGAAGACAATCTTGATATACTGAAGAAGAAAAAGAGACGCATACAGTTCTGAAGTTTATATGGACTGACCCAATTTTCGTTAAAAAATAAGATACTCCCTATCTCAATCAATCTATCTATAGAAAACAATTTAGGAGGATTAACACCAAAATGCTTAAGAGTTGTCATGAGGGATGGGGGAGTGGGAAATAATAATAGGTCATTCCTTTTACTCAAAATGTTCCAGTATTGACTGTATTTTCCAATAATACACATACTTTTAAATACCTTTTAATTATACAAAATGTCAATACGTTCTCCTTGTTAAAACAACAGCATAGGAAGAAGGCTCCCTTCGTCCACTCCTGGACCTTAGGACCCTCCCAGACATCACTAATCACCATTGTCAGTTGGATACATATCTTCCCAGCCTTTTCCAATGCATTTACACACATACTGATACTTAACCTGTGTCATCCCTCATCATACTATACCTGCTATTGCGCATCTTGTTTTTTACTCAACAGTAGGCCTTGATAATCTCCACAATAGCCCACATAGATCTAAGGCATCGTCTTATGCTTTTACATTTAAAAAAATTAATAAATAAGCAAAGCTAATTTTATGGGGTCAGGAGAGAAAACACCCCAAGAGTGGCTGGCCTCTGGCTCCCTCAGGATAGGCTGGAATAACTACCCAGCCACTTTTTTTGCCCCTTACTCAGGGCCCAGGCTCTTTCCACATCGGGTTCCTCCTCCCTACACTTACCCAGAAAGCTTGTGTCCAGCAGCTGAAGCCTAGCCACATCCCAGGTCCGCTTGATACCAATGTTTGGTAGGTTGAGGTCCAATTTCCCATTGCCTTGGGGTTGGAGACGGAGGAATGTTCTCATATTCACGGCCGCAGCCAGTGCTACCTATAGAACAAAAGGCAAAAGCAGCTAGCCTGAGTGTGGGTGGCCACAAGCCTGACATTGCTAATCAACTGTGGCACACTTTCTCACTAAGCCTGGACACAACCTCTACCTATCAATTAGAGGTTTTATATCTACTTATATTTGCTTTCCCCATGCAAAACTTTAGAGGTTCCCAACACCAAGGAGTGGCTTCCCCATAATCACCATGTTTTCAAAGATAAATATAAGTAAAGAACACAAAGAATGACAGAGAGGAGTGGGAAAAGCATGAGCTTTGGATTCAGACAGACCTAGGTTCACTCCTAGCTCTACCAAGGTGTATGGGACCTTGGTCAAGTTACCAATCCTCTCCAGAGTCTAAACTACCACATCGGTAAAACAGGACTAAAAGTTTAACCTCAGAGGCAGTTGTAAGAGTTAAATGAAATAATATATGTTTCAGACTCATCTCCCCGACTTCTAAATGGTGAAGTACCCCAAATTCGGTCCTCAAACCTCTTTTTTTTCCTCTGCTGAAGCTCACTTCCTAGGTGATCTCAATCCAATTGTGGGGCCTTGCCTATCAACTTTTTTATATCTTACTGAGTGGGTCAGAGAAGCCCTTCGGTAGGCATAAGATCTGTCTTTTCCTTATCTGGCTAGGGAGAAACTAACCTCCTCTCTGCTCTACTCCCAGGCTATGCCTCAAGTCTTTCTTTTGGCTTCCTTTAATATTAGCATCAGGGAGAAGTGGTGCCCAATCCGTGAAGGGGGCCTTTTACCTTGCCATGGACCACAGCATACTCTCCATGAAGGATGACTTTCCCTGGAGCAGAGACCAGCAGGACTCGTGACAACATGGCTCCTGGGAACCCTGAAAGGGAAAGCCAGAGAGAGGATAGAAGTTCCCCAGACCTTAAAGATCTCAGAAAATGCTTAGTTCAAGCTCTTCATTATAATAGAAAATGGCAGCTACCATTTAGCACTTGCTATGTGCTCAAAAGGCAGTGCTGTGCAGTGCAGCAGCGAACTAGACACATCAAAAGATGTGGGTTCAAACCCCAGCTCTTCTACTCTCCAGTTATGTCATCTTAGCTAACTCGCTTAAAGGGCTATGAATTCCAGTTTCCTCACATGTTATATGGCGACAATAACTGTATTTACCTCAATAGGTTTCGGGAAGGTTAAATTAAATAGTGCAAGGGAAACACTAAGCAGTGTCTGGTACATTGTAATCACTTGATTACTGATAGCTGCTTATTACTAGATCTGTTCTTCGTTCCAGCTTTTATTATTACTACTATTATTAAAGGTAGAAATTTAAGTGAAATGACGGACCAGAAAGCACTGGCCAGGGCATTGGTGTGGGGGTAGGGAAATCAGGCTGCTCAGCTGATTAATAGCTATTACGTGGAGGGGGGGGCGGGGGGGGGAGGGAGGCAGGAAGGGGGTGGCCCAGGAGACCCAAGCGTTCTAAAAAGCCACCTGCTGGGTCTACGAGTGTGCGCATTTCAGATTTTTACAAATGATGCAAAATTACCCTCCATTTAAGGCTCTAAGTGCATTAATTACCTGAGTATAATATGACCTGAACTTCACGATAAGTACTATCGTGACCTCCTTTTCTTAGCGCGGAAACCTATTGCTTGTTTGAAGATCAAAATCACGTCTGTCAGATTCGAAGTCGCCGGCCCCTCAGGTCGGATTCTCGAGTTGGGGAAACTGAGCCTGAGAAGCCGGGAGCCTGGTTTGGGGTTGTCCTGAATCTCGGCTGAGACCTCGCGCCACCCGACCCCAAGACCCCGCCCTCTCACCTGACGCTACCGCCAACCCAAGGAGCTGGAGCGCGAGCAGTTGCCGACCTCATCCCAGCCCGGGAGAGAGCGGCCTTTCCTTCCTCCCAGCCAATCAGAGCGCGAGATTCGGAAGTCCCTTTACCAATTGGCTTGAGTATTGGCCAATATATGTTGCCAACCAAGTAAATCGACACGAGTTTCCCCGCCCAGCTCCTTCCGGAAATCAATGGGAAACAAGCCCCTGGGAGTGTCCCGCCCTGGGCTGAGAGCCACGGACCAATGGAAAATGGCGGCTGAGCGGTGGGGCGACCGGCTGTAGGTGGAGTCATCCCGGGACCTGGACGGGAGCCTGGCAGGGTCAACCCCGAAAAGGGGCAAGGCGCTTGGCTATGTGGCGCCTGGGAGGCCGTGTTGGCCTTCGCGGGTGCATTGGCGCCGGCAGGCTACTTTGTTCCCGTTTCCAGAGTCGCGGGTCCCCGGGAGTAGAAGACGGGGACAGGTGAGTGCCTGGCTGGGAGATTAACTCAAACACCTGCCCTGTATTATGTTATCGTCATAGTTACGTCACCTAGTTGAGAGGTCACTATGGCACCCGCCAGGTGACTTCTCAGTCCTGACGTCACCATGGCAACGTGGGCACCGTGGAAGCCAGAGACCAAGATTTCTTTGTACTAGTAGAACGAAGCTCAGCTGTCATCTAACACGACAGGGTATGTGCCATATGAGCCGGGAGGGGCGTCTTACCTGACCTCACTCCGGAAGACGGGCTTCAATTCAAATTTTGACCTATCGCCAAAGCAGTTTATACTTTCAGACGCAGAGATACACCACAAGATCTAAAGATGGTTGTCATATACCTTGAAACCTGCACCCTATTCCCAGATCCCAGAACCTGTAGAGTACCATGAATAATGGAGTCATGTATTTTATATATCCAGTAATTTAACCTTTGAATAACCTTGTAATGTCACGTTTTCATGTTGAAGTCTATATTAAAGGTGTTATGTTGCTATTTGAAAATGCCAATTTTAGAACTTGTTTTGCCAATTCCTTATTTCTAAGTATACTTGAAGTTTCATAGAATGAAAGTGGCCTGGGTTTCTCTCCCTCCAGGAGGCCCTTACTAGGTGAATAGAGGGTAAGAGTTTGGGTTAGGGTTAAAGCAACATTTTGGGTAGGGTAGAAGTAACATTTTGGGGTCTGGAGTAAGACGGTCTTGGATATGAATCCTGGCCCAACCTCGTCCTCCCTGGGTGACCTTGGAAGGTAAGTCTCATCGTGTGAACTACAGTTTCCTCACCAGTAAAATGGAGGTCATAGTTAGTGCCTACTAACTATGGGAAGATTCTAGGGATCATTGCAGGATATAATGCCAGTAAATCACTTAGCACAGTGCTGAGATGATGGAAAGTGATAGATAAATTCTTTCAGCAAATATTTATTGAACTTCTGCATTGAGCAGTGCACCACATCAGCTACTCTGCAGATATAGATGTGAGCAAGACAAAGCTTGCCCACAAGGGGCTTAAAACTAAGAGGGATGGAGGGGAAAGAAGTCAACAAGAAATTTAAGCAGAGGGAGGTAAATGCCTCTGAGGCTACGAGCAGCAAGCTGGGACCCACGGAAAGAGGTGCCCCACTGAATAAGCCACCTCTACTCACCACCTCTTGATGTCTGTTTTCTCATTAGGTCACAGCCTTCCTCAAAGACACCCAAGATCCCCAAGATTTACACCAAAACAGGAGACAAAGGTAGGGTGGGGATAGGTAAAAAATACAAAGAGAGACACGGCAGACTCCTTTTTAAAGTTCTTCTAAATTCTTTGCAGCCATTAAAAAGTATGTAGCATATCTCAGTATATATCACCAAAATGTGATGTGATATGAAAGATGCCCAAACAATATTAAGTGATAAAAGCAAGTTGTGAGACAATCCAGATACCTAAAATCATTTGGATAAAAGTGCACGTGTATGAGTGCATGTGCGTGCGTGTGTGTGTGTGTGTATCTATGTTCAGGTATGCGTAGAACAGTCTGAAAGGTTACACCTTGGACTATTACCTGGGAGAGGGATTGAGTTGTGGGAGAGGGGAATGGACAGAAGGGCTTTCATTGTTTACTGTACATACCTTTATTATTTTTTGGAATGAGTGTATATTACCTTGATAATATAAAAAAATACCAGAGCATAATGTTGTACAGAAAAAAGTAAGATGCAGGAGAATATATCAGTATGATACCATTTTCTGAAGTTTAAAATATGCAGATCACTAGCATATGTTGATTTTTGGATACGTATCAGGTCCTTAAATAACGCCATTTGTTTCAACGTCATTTCATTATAATGTTGATGAGATGCAGTAGGAAATTAACTCTTGTTTATATCAATTAACCTATGGTAAAATTGATATATGTCATAATTCCAAGAATTTATCAACAATATTAAGTGAGAACTTACTGTATGTCTATATAGTAAAAGTATAAAAACATGCAAAGGATGTACTTGATGCCACTGAACTATACACTTAAAAATGGTTAAAAATGGTAAATTTTATGTTACATGTATGTCACCAAAATTAAAAAGTATATATTCATAGGAGTGACAAACAGAAGGTAGTATTAATACCCTCCAGCCAAAGACCTCCAGAGTCAACCTAGTCAAATAAAGTCGTGTCATTGAGCTCATTACAACTAGGAAGATGGCGCACCATGGGGACCATGAGGCAGCTCAGTAAGAGGATGCTGGAAAGGACTTATAGGATCGGTCTTATGTTAGGTGATTTGGGGCTTTCTCTGGATTGGATGATGTCAGAGCAGGGATAATTCTGTAACTGAGTATCTTAATCATTTTTGTCTAGAACGGGAGAGGAACAAATTGGGGCTAAAGCTGTAATTGATAAAGAAGCAGCAGTCAGTCACGTTAGCCAGGAAAGGGGGATGTTTGGCCATTTTTATAGTTTGGACAGTGTTCTGTGCTCAGACATGACTAGGAGCGGTCTCATTTTGATCTTGATCTGTCACCATCACAGAGTGGCCCATCTGATGGTGTTTTTGTGAAATCATTTACATTCAACAGGAGAACACTGCAAGCTACCTGTGGGTGCCAGGCCCACACCTCACAGCACCAAAGCCTGTCTGATAGTGTCAGGCCTGCTCCTGGTTGTCAGGAGTGGGTTTTCTCTCTCTCAGTGGTTGGGGGAGAAAGGTGGAAAATGTGACCTAGGTAGAGATACAGAATACTTTGATTTTATATGAACTATAATGTATACATCATATGTACAAGTATCTCTTATTTCTTTAACAGGATAGTTAGTACATGATTTTTTACATTTGAAATAAAAGTATATCAGGAAAGAAGTGAGGATAGTGGTTACCCTTGAAGGATAGCAACTGAAAGAGGGTGCATGGAGCTTCTAGGGTGCTACTCATGTTCTGTTTCTTGATCTGGGTGCTTAATACAGATGCATATTCAGTTAGTAGCAATTCATCACAATTGTACACTTATGATCTGAGCACTTCTCTGTGTATGTTATACTTCAAGTAGAAAGTTTTCTAAAAAGTGCATATCAGAAGAATAAAATCTTATTTTGGACGGCTAACCATTTTTTCACAGGGTTTTCTAGCACCTTCACTGGAGAAAGGAGACCCAAAGATGACCAAGTGTTTGAAGCCTTGGGAACTACAGATGAATTAAGTTCAGCCATTGGGTAAGGGAGACGGGATTGGCCTTGAGGTTGAGTTTGAATTGGGCATCAGTAAATGTAAATAATATGAAGCTCTTGAGAGTGCTTGCTAGTCCTGGAGGCTGCCAACCCTTAATGAACCTGCCTCAGCCTGGAAGCAAAGGCACATCTGGTCAGCTCCAAGGCTGCGGGGCTGCAGACACCTTTCCATTCTGGCACTGCCTGCTCTTGCACTGGCATGTGTTCCATGCCATGTGAAGCTGCTCTGCCCGTGCCCCCCCATCCCTGGCTTTCTCACTCTTGAGGTGTGTACGTGTGTGCTGTTGAGGTGCACATATTAAGTGAAAGAGGTGAGTTGAGCACAGTATACCATGCATCAGATGCGGTCCCTTTTGTGAGCCTTGTCTAAGTATATACACAGAGTTTAGAAAATGGACTCAGGGAATTAGTCAGGATTGGCCAGGTCACGCTGTGGTAACAGACAACTGCCAGATCTCATGGCTTACAACACCAAAGGTGTGTTTTGTGCTCTTACTTCAAGCCCATCATTTTAGGTCCCAGACTGACAGGACAGCTTCTGTCTGGAGTAACACCAGTAATTGTGAAAGAGAGAAAAGATATCATGCGAAAGCCCACACTGGCTCTTAAAGTTTCCGTGAAGTGACAGATCACATCTGCTCACATTTCACTGCCAAGAGTCAGTCACATGGACACACCTGACAACATTGCAGTAGGAGGGGCAGCATATATTTGAGAACAATCATCCAGTCCACCAAACTCAGCAAGCTGTTGACAGTGTAAGTCACAGTTATCTCAAGGGCTATTCAGGAGCTCTGATGTGGCCCTGTGGGTGAAGGTCATGGGAATCAGACAGACCTGGCTTCAAATTCTCTACCACTGCTGATTGGCTGTGTGCCTCCAGGCAAATCACCTGGCCTCTCTGAGCCTCAGTTTCCTGTTCTATCATATGATCATAGTAATAGTGTCTATCACTTTAGGTTCTTGTGAGGATTGAATGAGATAATTCCATGTTTTACCCTTCATACTAGACAGTGCCGAGCGCAAATAATAAAATTGTCAGCTAATAATGTCAGGCTCCTGCTTTTGCTTATCTTTGCCATCTGTTGTCAGTTTCTGTAACTCTTCCCATGCTCTGATAATAGTCCCTTTGCAAAGCTTTCCTCTAGGACTCCTTTGAAAGCACCATGGTACAGAAGTGGAGTGCCAAGTTCTGAGGGAGGCCATAGCCAGGGTCCTGACCTGCATCCGGGGCACTTTGCGTTCCTTGCCCCACCCCACCCCTCCAGAAAACTCCTACTCAGCCTATAAAGTCCCAACCCCAGCATCACTTCCTCCAAGAAGCGCCCTCTGAACCCTAGCCCAGGCCAGGTTTCCCAGGAATCTAGTCCTTTCCGTCAGAGAGCAATGACCACACTTTGCAAGTTCACCTTCAGTCATGTGATATTTAATTCAGGTCTTCATCTGCTGCTAAACAGAGCGTGTGTCACCTCTGCTCACCACTGAATTACCTGGACCTGGCCAGAGTAGGCACTGAGAAAGGAATTGTTGACTGGATGAGGAATGAGTATAAGAAAAAACATTTTGGGAAACAAATACCCTGAACCAAATGGAGGATTATGTTGTTCTTATTGTCAGCAAGAAAAAGAACACAGTGGCTACTAGAGCCAAATTAGTTTAATGGTCTATTACCTGAGAATCTGTTGCATTGCAGAAAGACAGGTCCTGGGGATGTTATGCTAGAGGCAAATTCCTTTTCCTTTTTCCTCATAGGTTTGCTATGGAATTAGCTATGGAAAAGGGCCACTCATTTGCTGAAGAGCTTGAGAAAGTGAGTAACGTTGTCTCACCCCAAGCTGGGATTTTTTTTACCCCAGAGGCCTGGTAGCCATAACTGGATTTGCCCTCTGACCATCGCTTCCTCTCCGTGACACCTGGGACTAGTCACTCTTCCTCTGTGAGCCTCAGTTTCTCCATCTGTATAATGGAGACATGCAGAAATATTCCTCCGTCACAGGCGTGTGGTGAGAATTGCACAAAGAGAGGAAAGTGTAAAAGTGCGGTGGGCTCAACCTGGGGCAGTTCTGCCCCGCAGGGGACATTTGGCAATGTCTGGAAACATTCTTGGTTATCACAACTGGCAGCGGAGGTGCTACTGGCATCTAGTGGGTAGAGGCCACGAATGCCGCTAAACATCCTACGCTGCACGGGACAGCACTACAAAGAATGACCCACAGAGAGGACTCCAGGACTGGTGACAAGGACTCCCCGCTTAGAACACACAGGATGTGCTTAAAGTTTCAGTCCACATGTTGACCTGAGTCTTTAGGAACTGCTCCCTGGAGGGCTGGCCCTCAGCCTGTTTCAGCCCTTCAGGCCAGGCTGGAGCCCACTTGGGCTCCAGCCCCACTTGGGATGAAGGGCAGTGAGAGGGCTGCAGAAGGATGGGAGGCCTCAACTGCTGGAATATCTGTGAAGGAGGCACCTCCTGTGTGACGGGGGTGGTTTTCAGCCTCATAATGAGAAACCGTTCAGGTCCACAGGGGTACTTTCTATCTGCCGTGTTCATCTCTGAGTGGAGTTTGCAGAGGGAGAGCTGAGGTACTGACATGATGAGCCTCCTGTGCTTTAGGCCTCTGTCCTGTAGTTCACAGCTTCAACCTCACCTCTGCCAGGGGTCTTCCCTGGCTACCCCCACTTTCAGCTGGGTTGGGCACCTCTCCCAGGTTTCCACAGCTCCCCTCAAATAGCAGGTATCACCAAGAGTGTCAAACTGCCCAGTCCCCTGTCTTTCTCCCTACCTGCCTGGGGCCCCTCGAGTGTACGGACTGTGACTTGTTCACCTGGGGACCCAGTGTGGCCCCAGAGGCTGCTCACTGGGCCTGTGGAAGATTGCCAGGCAGCCCGTTTGCCATTCTCTTCACATCACCCCATTTGATCCTCGCAGAAGCCTAGAAAAGGCAATTTGCCCAAGGCCCTACAGCCACAGGTCAATGGAGCCAGGATCCGGCATTACCTGGGGTGATTGCTGCAGCTGCCTACCAACGGGCAGTATTGTTACTCCCCATTCACCAGAAGCCACAGACACCAGACAGCCAGTGACTCACCCAGGGTCTGCTGGTCTGTGGCCCAGGGAGCATCTAGTCCACTGCTGGGTGAGGAGCCTCTACACTCATCCACTGTGTCCTCCTCCTGGCATGCAGTCACAATGGCCATCTTATCAGGGGTCACAGACCTCCACTCTCCCCACGGCTCACCATCCAGCTCGAGTGGACCCAACTGGGCACAAAGTCAGAGACAGTGTTTGTAGGTCTCATCAGCACAGGATCCCTTGGTCATTTGTCAAGCAGGAGTGTGGAGCCCTTTGAGCCGAGTTCAATAGGCCACCTCTGTTTTAAGCAAACCTCCTAGCTCCTGCCCCTCAGGCACAGGCCATGCTTCCTGACACTGGATCACTCCACACATCTCAGCTGACCATGTTCTCACAGATCCTGTCCTTTATAATTGAGAAAGCACTGTCACGTGTGCTCTTGGCCCAACTGTTACAGGTTAGAAAAACAAAGCTGTCAGTTTAGAGGAAAAAAAAAAACCTCATAGGGCCCAGGCTCATGGGAGACAAGGGTTGAGACAGAAGATTCCTCTTGACTGTCATTGAGCACTTGATATTTACTTTCTGTATAACCCCACTGTCCCCAAGGGAGCCATGTCACCTCTCAACGGGGCTGGTGTCCAGCATGCTGAAGGCTCAGACAGTTTGCTAATTAGCCTGTAAATGCCAGGTAATTAAAGTTCTGACAGTCCCCGACAGGCCAGCCCCCACATGCCTGGCTAGTGTGTCAAGCGGCACCTCTGCACGTGCAAACACGTTATCTCCGCTTGGCCCACCATGAGTAGATCTTCATTCGTTGCTTCCCCAGGTCCAGTGCTTGCTGCAGGACGTCGGCTCTGCCCTGGCAACACCGCGCTCCTCGGCCAGGGAGGCTCACTTAAGTAATTCTCTCTCTGAAGCTGCTGTGTGTGCTCTGAGGGCTCTGTGGGAACTGGGCCCAAAAGGAGAGGGGGGACTCTCAGGTGTCACCTGGGGCCCATCGGCCCAGCCTATAGACCCTGAGAGGGAAGGAACCTTCCAAGACAGTGAAAGTGGTTTGGAGGGCACCGGGCAGAAGGGACACAGGCGGTTTCCTCGATGATCTGGTGGGTGATGGGCCTCATGGTCATGTCCTTCTGCTCCTCAGGACACACCGCATTTGAGGCGAGGCCCATCCAGGAGCTGGAGCAGTGGATTGACAAATACTCCAGCCAGCTACCCCCTCTCACTGCTTTCATTCTGCCTGTAGGTACGGGGTGGGGGTGGGGGATGGGGCTGCAGGCCAAGTGTCTTAACAAAAACACAAGTATTGAATACATTAATTTTTAACAGTGACAGACGTGGTCCCCTAAGTCCCCTCCAGACCCTCACCGGTCCATCCCCAGCTCTGCCCACTCTGGAGGCGGTTGCCCAGTGGGTGCGCCCCAGCAGGGCCCCGTAGAGGCAGAACATTGCCCACGCAGGGGCTGGGCCCGTGTGTCTGTCCATCCGTCCGAGGCGCTCCCTCTCTGCAGTGGGTACACCCGCCCACCCGCTGCTCCAGCAACGCTCTCTTTCTCTTTTCAGTCGGGAGGCAAGAGCAGCTCTGCACTGCATTTCTGTCGGGCCGTGTGTCGCCGAGCTGAGAGACGGTGAGGAGCCTGGTCAGAGCAGGAGGCAGGCTGGTGGGGTCGGCCCCATGCTGTCCAGCCACCTGTCAGCAGACCTTCTCCTGGCACCTTCACCATGCCAGGTGGACACCAAGCCAGACCAAGTCCCTGTCCTCAGAGCACTACATTGTCCTCAGAGCACAGTAATCCGTGACCAGACAAATGACAGATGACATAACTACACATCAAGATCAGAGCTCATGGAGAAACAAGTGGTTAGGGAGAAGGTCTTAGTGGGTTTTGTTGGTTATTTATAACACATGGTATGAAATTCAAAAAAGTACTTGTGAAAACGCCTGTGCCCCAGCTGCCCCATTCCTCGGGGTTAATTTAAGTGAGACAGTCTGAGCTGAGCAGAAATGACTAAGAGCCCACACTGAAAAGGGCTGTGAGGGGGGGGTGTGGGGTACTAGGGTGACCCAGCCCGGGCACAGGAAGGGTCTCCAGTCATCCTGTGGGAGCCAAGAGGGGAAGGATTAGCATGGGGGCGGGGGTAGAACAGTTTCCTGGGCAAGGGCAGAGGCAGCGGTCCACGTCGAAAGGACAGCAAAGAGGCCGAGTGTCTGGATCCAGAGGTGGGGGCAGGGTGCATGTTGAGGCCAGAGGCTGAGCCGAGGCCAGGCTGGGCAGGGCTTCTTGTAGGCCCAGAGGGGTCTACCTTTATCCCGAAAGCAACAGGAAGCCATTGATGGGCTTTAGGCCGTGGGGTGACCTGAAAGGGCCCTCCTGGCTGCTGGGTAGAGTTGGGCCCAGAGAGACCCACACGAAAGCCCTGATGGAAGTGGTCAATAGACTGGCCACTCGCTGCCCCAGCCCCCTAACTCCAAGGGACGTGAGGGATCCCCAAAACCTACTGACAGCCTTTAAAAGAAACTTTAAAAGAGTAACTGCAAAATCTTCATTTACACCACTTATAGACCAGGCTGCCACCCAGCTTTACAGATAAGTAGAAATAAAGCTGTACTTTGATGTAACAGGCAGGGCTGTGCTAGACACTTTATAGTCATTATTTCATTGATTCCTCACGATGACTCTGGGAGAGAGGTGATGGTAGCCCTCACTTTATAGGAGTCAGAAAATTGAGGCCAAGAGAGGTGATATTGTGGCCATGGTCACCCAAGTAGCCTATGGCAGAGTCTGGATGTCAGCTCAGGTCTGTCTAGAACCCCAGCTCTGTCCATGGCCCCACATCATTAAATTTTCATCCTTCATGAAAAGCTCTTGGGCCCAAGTGGTTCCTAAAGGGATCCTGGGTAACAGAAAGAGCTGTGGCTTCAAAAGAAAAAGTCATTTGTACAAAGCCATTAATGTCAGCCATGCTCATAATAACAAAAAATTAGAGACAACCCAAATGCCCAATAGTGGGAAATGGCCGAGCAGAGGATGAGCCCTCAGTCCACCAGACAAGGAGGTAGAGAAGTACACATGGGACACTAATGGGTGAAAAAGTCCCTTGGGCAGGGGACACAAACCCAGAGCTTCAGTCTTTTGGACAGAGCATCTCCTGGCAAGGGTTATGTGCACGAAGGGCTTAGCAAGGGCCTGCCCGGTCACTGTTGCCCAGCAGACCGCAGGCCACTGTCTAGAACATCCACATAGACTGGCAAGAACACTGGGTTAGGCTGTAGCAGCCGGACATGCTGGCTTGGACGCAGCCGTGGGTCCTGTAGTGTGTCGATTTCGTAATGTAGTGTGATGCTCTGTGTCTTCCCTTTCCAGTGTGGTGCCTCTTATCCAGATGGGTGAGACGGATGCAAACGTGGCCAAGTTCTTAAACAGGTACTTAGATGGAATTAGGAGAGTGTCTCTTCTCTGAAAAACGAGGCACATTGTGGGAAGTAACAGCACTGAAATGGGCCTTACTCATCCATTCGCTTTGTTTTCACTGAGAGCCTGCTGTGTGCCAGGCAGGGGGATGCAGCTTAGAATAAGGCAGGTACCATCCCTGACCCTGGTGAGGTGAAGATCTTGTTGAGAGAGGCTGCTGTAAAAACCAGCCAAGAGAAAAATCAGAACCAAGGGACAGTGTAGTAGCCAGGGGCCCCCATTGAAGCTGGGTAACCATGGAGGCCATGGAAGGTATCATGTGGTGACTGACCAGGGAGCCCAGTCAGGAGTCAGACCCTCTCTCAGCAGGCCCCCTCCCCACGAGGCCGCTGGGCAGTGTGAGCTGAGAGGAGACAGCGAGACAAAGCGAGCTCAGGACCATCTAGGCCCAGGCACGGGACCCAATGAGCTGGTTGGCCCAGGAAGAGCCTGCAGCTCCACACTCAGCCTCCAAGGCCGGGGCCACAGCTGGCCCAAGGCCTGTTCTACCAGACTCTGCCCTAGCCTTGGTTCAGGCAGTTCCTGAATGGGCAAAGCCAGTGCCCAGGGACAGGCCAAGAGCTGAGGGATCCCTCTTGCTGTCCTAGATGTCAAGAAAGTGATCTCACAACTGAGATTTGGCCCCTGACTGTGGTCACTTTTCCCACTGGAATATAGACTGGGCTTCGATGGGTGCTGACCCATTCCTTTTCTCCTAGGAGCTGAGAGGGAGTGAGGAGCGTTCCATTCATCCTCAGCATTGAGCCCTAGGGATGCCCTGACAGTCCTCTCTGTTGTGAGGGCCCAGTCAGTTCATTCCCTCAGCAAGGAAGGTGTCACTGAGTGGATGAGAAACTAACATGGGCCGTCTGGCGTTAGGAGGAAGGGGACCTGATCCCGGGAGCAGCAGGGGTAGGGAAGGTTCCCGCAGGACCTGGCGTAGAGCTGGCTTCAGAGGATAGGAGTGGAGCAGGGGCAGATGGAGGAATTGGTGGTCAGTTCTCAGCGTGAAAACCGGAAGTGCAGGAGGCTTAGAGGTGGAGAGCTTCATGGACTCACTACAAGCACCTTACAGTGAGGCTCAGTGTCTCCTCGGTGTAGCTCTCTGCCCCAGCTCCTGCCCAGGGGCCCCATCCCTGGGGGCTCAAAGAAATAAATGAGAGTGAGAAGTCAAGCCACCAGAATATTCCAGGCCAGTGCTTCTCAACTAGGACCTGCAGTGTCTGGAGACATGTTTGGTTGGCACAGCTGGGTGGGGGGTGTTACTGGCAGCAAATGGGTGGAGACCAAGGATACCGCCCAGTGTCCTACAGTGCATGGTCAGCCCTCTGTCCCCCATCAGAGAATGATCCAAAATGTTAGTAGTGCCAAGGTTGAGAACCCCCTATTCAAAGCAGGTAATCAAACCAGTAATGCCAGCATCACCTGGGCTCAGGTTAGACTTGCAGAATCCCCACCCCAAATCAGAATCTGCATGTTACCGGGATCCCCAGGTGACTTGTATGCATGCTTCTGTTTGGGAGGCACCAGTCCTTGTCACTGGGAGGTGCAGAAATCAGCCCAGGGAGTGGCCCAAGATCACTGGCCCTGTGAGGTTGGGCTGGGGTCGCAGCCTTGTCCTGTAGGGGCCACCCCAGCTATGGCGCCAGAGTCAGGTGCTTGCCTCTCACGGAAGCTGGCTCCGAGCACCATCCATCAAGCCCAACTTGACCGAGCACCCGCTGTCCTGCCTGATGCTCCTGGGGGCATGTGATTTATATTTTCTCCTTGAAGGCTAATATGGGAAGGACCCAGTTAGCATTGATTGCTCGTTTCAGATTATTCCGTCTGCTTCTCTCTGCCCCTCCAGACTCAGCGACTATCTCTTTACATTAGCCAGATATGCAGCCTTGAAGGAAGGGAATCAAGAAAAAATATACAAGAAAAATGACCCGTCGGACCGAACCTGAGGCATTTGGAAATAATGGAAAGGGGGAGCTTTGCAGACCCCTCAGTGGTGACAACAGTGAAAAGAAGAGTTTGCCCTTTGTGTACTGATTCCTGAAGACTTCACGCAGAGGGGCTGGAAGCTGGCCTCTTGTCCAGACTCAGCTACCTTTCAGACCCCCTGCCACTTCCGTCAAAGAGCTGTGGCTGCTGAAGAATTCTGCCCCTGCTCCCCCAGGCTCTCCTTGGTCTTAGAGGAAGTACGAATGAATTCAGTATTGCAGAAAGAAAGGTAAAGCGATCGTTGCAATGAGCAGGAGCCACACAGAATAAAGAATTAAAGTGGGAAAGGCTTGAACCGAGCGTGTGTGTGTGTGTGTGTGTGTGTGTGTGTGTGTGTGCGCGCGCACATGCGTGTGAAAGAAGAGAGAGAGCGCTCTTCCACTGCCAGCTTGGCTTGTTCAAGGATTTGGAGTGGTACCAGAGGCCCGTGGAAATGTAATCGTGATTTACCTGTGCCAAAGGGGCTTTAAATGTCACATTTATAAAGGGAAAGGCAGATAGGATTTGGAAGTTCAGTCACCTCTGAGCCACCCATCACTGTCTAAATGTGGGGGCAGGACAGCTGCAGATTGACAGGGGAGCCTCAAAAACGCTCTGCTGGGTTGTATTGTGCATGGTGGGGGTGCAGCCCGGAGAGTCCTCTCTCACTGGGGAGCCTTCCTTCATCCAGGGATGGAGGCCCTGGTGAGAGAGAAACACCAGCGCCTAGAGGAGGGCACGTCCTGCCCAGGCAGATGGCGTCAAGGGACTGAGGTGCAGCGCGTTCAGCTCAAGACAGTAAGATCTTCAGTTTCCAACAAGGCCGACACAGAAGAGACTTATTTCCCTGATGTTGTTGCACTTGGCTGGTTTATGCCTCTGAGATTCATGCCTTGGCTGTATTTTATTTCAGTTGTCACCACTGCTCCCTCCCGCTATGAAACAACACTGCCAGTGCCAGCTGTGTCCTTGGGCAGGATATATTTATGAAGGGCGAGGAGGCAGCCCTGAGAACCTGAAGATTCCATGCTGCTAATTGCAGAAAATGACTTCAGAAGGGCAGGCTCGTGCTAACTGCCAGGGCTGAAATGCCTGGTGAACTCCATTCAGCAATCATTTATTTACCGAGTGCCTGCTTAGCATGAGGCACCAGTGAGGCTCGGAAAGCTGGTCACTCTGTTGTCCTTGCCGGCAGATCAGCCAACATTAAAACCATCAGTCATATGTATATTTTTGCTTTCATTCTCATCACCTTGCCTGCTAATTTTGCTGGAGGAACAAGTACATTTCATCCCTTCTGGGTCCTTTCATTCCCAGCAGGCTGTAGTGGCCCTCTTAAGCTTCGGGCAGAGTGGCCTAGGTGCAGATGACCCTGAGGGAAAGTGAAAATCCTCCTGGATGTGCCCATGTAGGGTGCCTCCCTAGGGGCCAGTGGTTAGCGCCAGGTCTGGTGCATAGCCGGTGCTCAGTGTTTGTGAACAGAACTGAAAATAGTAAAAGCACGAGTGTTTCAGGAGCAACTGCCCCACGGTGCAGGCAGTGAGGCTGGGCCAGGGAGGGGTTTGCTCCAGGAGCTTGCAGCCAACCGCTGTGCACTCAGTTCTGCCCCCTCCTCTCTTCCAGGAAGGAGCAGGATGTCTATAATAAAACAACAGCCCTGCGCTCCTAGCCACGCTGAAACACTCTACAAAGGACGAGAAGTTCTTTGAGTAAATATAGCATCCTAAAGTGACACTTTTTGAAACAAGGCAATTTGCCTGTTGCCAAATGCTGTCCCCACCAGCTCTTGCTGGGAGGGGCTGTCGCAAGCCAGATGTTAACCCAGGTCCCCAGGCTCCCCTCTGCATCTGCATCTGCCTTTCACCAGCAAAGATTCCCTGAGAGATGGCCCAGGTACTGGGCAGACTTGGCATCTCTGGTGTTGTGTCCCGTGCCATCAACCTGAGAAAAACAGGAATTCTGCTTCGGGGGCCCAGAAGATGAGCTGGTTTGAAACGTCTGCTCTTCTGCATTGCCTTACAAAGCCACATTGGAGCCTGAGGCAAAAGGCAAACTATGCACCCCATACACACTTAGCAAGACATCTTCCCACGTCTTCGACCGAGTCAGAAAAGTTAATGAAAGTTCCACAATCAAAACACAAGACTCAATAAAGCTCCACATTGCCCTGTTTGCACATCACTGTCAATCTTCATAAATGATTGTCCCCATTGCACAGTAATGTGGAATTGGAAAAGAAACAGCAGATTCTTATTTAAAGTTGTGATACCTTGTTGATCATAGATTTTTTTTGCATAATTTTGATTTTTAAAAACATTGTGTGAAAGTCCTGTTTATCTTGATGACTGAGACTTGCATACATTTTGGCATTCTTGTACATTCTGCACGCAAGGAAGTACCTTGCCTGCCTCACCTTAGTCCAGGTCGAGCTATCAGAAACACATCTGGTACCACTGCCAGAGGCGAGCTGGTGGCTGGACATCCCATCGGAGAGAACCTCACCATAATACCACCACCAGCCAGCATCATGCCTGGCCCCACAGACTTCATCTTTAAACCTCACAGCAACCCTGAAGGAGGCACTCTCTATGTGTACTCTCACTTTGCAGGTGAGGAAACTGAGGCTAGAGGAACCATCTTGTCTCGGGGACTCAGCACCAAGATGTGAACCCAGGATGTGGCCTTGTGACTCCTGGCTCAGTGCTCCTCATCTCCCCCCAGCTGCCACCTGACAGTCATTTTAATCACGACTTGGGCCGCCGAGAACAATGTCAGGCGCTAATAGATTCTGCTGTCTCATTTCTCAACCTAGTTTCCCTTAACTGATATTTCATGGCTATTGTTAATGTGCATTTTTCACCGAGTAATTTTCACAGCCCGAACCTGTAACACATCCCAATGACAAACGTCCCCCGTTCTCTAGCCCCCCGTCAGCTGCAATGTCACCCTCACCTCCTCCCCAGCACCTTCCTCCGACAGCCCATGCAGTTTTATGATCGCTCTGTCCCAGTTATCACTACTGAACCTTTAAGAATCCAGACGCATTTCAAGTTTAATTGAATAAAATTCTTTGTATAATAAATTCTGCATGAATGTTACATAAATCAGTGCCTGGAAGGATTTGTGGCTCATCTCTCCCATCAGACCAGGCCCAGGAATCTCACTGGCAATACTGGACCCAGGCTGGTTCAATCTTCTTTATCAAGGGGACTAAATTCACCTTTGTAGCTCAACTGAGAATACAGTTTTCATTTGCCTTGGCCTGTCGCTTTTCTTCTCTGGGGTTCCTCATGGAAGAAGAGGCAGAGAACGGTCAGGTTGGGGACACCCGGAAACTTTGGGGATGTCCCTTGTGTTCTCCCACTCTACAGAATCAGAAACTTCTGATGAAGGCTACACTCTCCCTAGATAGACGCACACACATGTCCACAGTTTGCATGCAATTTGAGGAAGCCAGTGGAAGCCCTAGGTAAAAATCTGTTCTAGGATAACTAGTGCCAGCCCCTCTTCAGGAGCGAATTGGACCAACAAGGCTGCCTGCTGCAGCAGCCTCTTTGTGGGGTGTGTGAGGAGCATTTGGGTTTTGGCCAGGGAGGCTGGTGAATGACCTTTGATGCTTGCAAGGCCGTGCAGGGCAGTAAACGACAGTCAATGCACAATTTGGGCGATGGCCTCTGGCAGACTCAGGTTCAAGACCAGCTCTGTCCCTTCCTAGCTTCATGACTCTGGGCCAGTCATTCCATCTTCCTCAGAGCTTGCGTCTTCTTCTGTAAAATGGGAATGATAGTATAGCAGTCCCCTTTATCCATGGGGTATACGTTCCAAGCCCCCAGAGGATGTCTGAAACTGCGGATTGTACCGAGTCATACACACACACACACACACAGTTTTTTTCCTACACACACATACCTATGATAAAGTTGAATTTATAAATTAGGCGCAGTAAGAGATTAACAATAATAAGTAATATAACAACAATTATAATAATATACTGTAATAAAAAGTATGCAAATGTGGTCTCTGGTAATGGAGACGGCTACTCGGTGACTCATGGGAGAGGAGCATATAGAGCATGGATGCGCTGGACAAAGGGATGATTCACGTCCGAGTGGGGCAGACGAGGCAGCATGAGATTTCATCACGTTACGCAGAATAGTGCACAATTTAAAACTTAATTATATCTGGAATTTCTCATTTAATATTTTTGGACCATGGTTGACCACAGGTAACTAAAACCACAAAAAGCAAAACTGCAGATAAGGGGGTACTGCTGTAATATCTACCCAAATGGGCTATTGGGAAAATTTAATGAGGCAATATTTGAAAGGTCTTAGCACTCCCCCTGGCATATGTGAGCTATTTATTATTATTATTACATTATTATTATAAAAAAAAAATGAATTCAAGTGCTGGCCCTGCCACTTAGTTGACTCACCTTGAGTAAATCGTTTAACCACTCTGAGCCTCGGTCCTCACTTTTTATAACGGGATGATACCAACTTCCAAGGGTTCAGGAAATAAGTCCATGGGCCTGGCATGTGGTAGCAGCTCAAAAAAAAAATGTAACTATTGTTGAATCATGTTTTATCCTTCACAAAACATTTTCCAATAGGTCAGGCCCAGATGAAGCGCAGAAGACCACTGAGCAGCGCCTCTGGTTTGTTTGCTGAGGGCAGGGGAGACAGATGGCCTCCTTGGGTCTGGTCCCAGTCAGACAGGAGGACATGGTTCCAGGAATACTATGCCAGAATGAAAGGGAGAGGTGACTGGGTCACAGAGCAATGAGAGTCCAAAAGGATCTTAGAGACCACGGCCCCATTTTACAGATGAGAGAACTGAGTCCCAGAGAGGAGAACTTAGTAAGATAATATTCATAATGTCCAAAAATTGAGCACTGGTTGTGTCTGGGCATCTTGCTAAGCACTTTATATGCAATAGTTCATTTTATTCTTTCAACAGGCCACGAAGGTGTTACTACTAATATTATCATCATCCCCAACTTACAGATGAGGAAACTGAGGCCTAGACATGACTTTCTCAAGGTCACATGGCTCTAGGAAGAAGAGCTAGACTTTAAATCAGGGCTCTATGCCTCCAAACCTCACAACTGGCATTTACTCAACCCTTGGCTACATGCTCGACTGTGCCACAATGCCAGGTCCTTTACGTGTCTTCTTAGTTCTCAGAACCCTAAAAAGTATGTATAAGTTATTCTCCCCATTTCACAAGTGAGGAAACTGAGGTTCAGGGGGATGAATTCACTTGCTCAGAATCACAAAGTGTCCACTGGGGTGATCGATGGTTATAATTACATCATAATAAACAGCTAACATTTATTGAGCTCCTCTTACATGCAGAGTTTAAAAAATTGCTATGATGCGTCATAGCAATACGAAAGCACTTAGCATTTACTCCCACAGCAGCCCCATCAGGTAGTGTCTCTTGTATTAGTGTCTCTGTTTCAGATACAGGCACAGAAACTGAGGCACAGGAAGAGGTCACCTTGCCCAATGTCACACAGTGAGTAAGAGGCTAAAACTCGGATTTGAACTCAGATCTGTCTACCTCCAGCACATTCTTGCCTCTCCATGGTGACACATGCTATCCAAGGTCTCCGTATAGGTAGCAGCAGAGCCAAGACAAGAATCCCGGTCTTCAGATTTCCTCGGGGACCATCCTGGGACATTGTTGAGAAAAATGCGATAGACAGTTAAGTGGGGCAGGGGAGGAGAAGAGGGTACAGTAAACCTGGGAGGACCCCCTGGCCTGGCTACGAGCTACCTCTCCAAGGAGGGGCGAGAGGCACGCACCAGTTTTGGGTGGCACAGGGCGAAGGCAGCCTGGAGAACTGATTGAATAAATGGAAGAAAGGCATCCAGCTGACTCAGGACCTGGGGGTGGTTGGAGGACCAGGCTCCCCACACCAGACACTCCCAAGACACGAATCCTTCGGCCCACATTCCTCCCCAGTGAGCAGGTGCCTTTATTTACGATCACCTTGGAAGGGTCGAGCAGACATATGTTGCTAAGGGTCGTTTATTCTTGTTTATAAAATTTATGGCTTCACCTCGATTACACACTGTCAAAACGGGAAGGATTGGCCCCAAAGTCTCTTGCCGCATGACTGCCTCAGACGTGGGTACATCTGTTAACTCTGTAGGAGCTGTAGAGGGAAATAAGGTTGATGATAACTCAAAAGCTCGCTGTCCCATCACAGGTGTGGGTGGCAGGCCTCAAGAAAAGACTTCCAGGCATCTTCGTGGGAACGGAGGATGTTAGGGTCTGCAAGTGCCGCCCCAGGTGGCATCGGGACCCTGCCTGCATCTGGCGATGGACTCTCTCAGGGCACTTCGGGTTGGTCAGTGAGAGTGGAGGATCTTGATTCCGATGGCCCTCAGGGGTCCTGCCACAGGACCTGGCAGCTGGAGAGAGTTTCCGAGCCTGTGGCTCTCCACCTGCAGACTTCAGCGGGGAGAAAGGAATGTTGATTCTCCATTGTTTGGGGGACTGGAGATAGGTACGACCCTTCAGGAGGGCAATTTGGCAATGCAGACAGAAGTGCATCCTTATGGCCCAGCAATTCCACAGCTAAGAATTTCTCTGAAGCAAATAGATAGATACATCAGTGGAGCCATAAGTGTTTTTTTCCAGTGCTGTGCTGCTCATTACAGTGAAAATTTGGAAATAAATGTCCAGTAATAGGGAGCTATTAAATAAGTAAAATATTTAACAATAAGGGACTATATGAAATATCATAAAACTACTGAAGATGATGATACCTATATATTTATTACTATGGAAAGTGTTTACAACTTTAAGTGAAAAAAACCACCAAGTTATAAAATGGTATGTATAGAATGATCCAAACCCTGTAAAAGAAATATACGTGTGTGTATATATACCACAGAAAAGAGTGCACAGAGCCGTTCCGTATTTTAATAATACTTATCTCTAAGTCATGGGATTAGGGGTGGTTTTAACTTTCATTTTTGTTCGGATTTTCCAATTTTTTTTTACGTGTTTGGGTTGGATTTGACAAAGGCTTACTTGTGTAATAAACATAAGTAAAACAGAGAAAAGAAACTGACAACTGCTTTCCCTGCCTGTAATAAGTCATCTCCCTCCCTTGGGATGTTTGAAGCCAAGAAGAGGATGCCCCGCAGTATCCAAAGCTACGGGGCCCCTCCAACGTCTAGAAGCCTGGAGAATATGCCCTGTGTTTGTTCTGCTGAAGACAGCTGGCTATTGGAACTGCAGCCCCCTTACAGCCTGAATGTGGACGCCTGGCCTCCATTCTAGGGCAACAGAGGAGAAAAGAAAAATGATCACGGCCCCACGGAGGTGCCCCCGGGGGAAGTCATGCCAGCTTTTCACAGGATGTTGAGGATGCTGGCATTCTTCTCTCTGCTCTCTTGGCTACCGCATCTCTAACTTGTGTAGAGTTCGAGAGTAGACAAAGAACTTTCATACTTAGTATCTTGCATGGATTTTAATCCTGGATTACCATCCTAATTTTACCTAGACAAAGTAGTGCCCCGTTGGGTAGAGTCTTGAGTCCAGCATACCATAGTCAGCAAGCGGCAAAACTAGCACTCAACCCACGCCTTCTGAATCAACATCCAGCTTCCTTTCCCAACTGTTCTGCTAAGACAGGGGGAGGGCTTTATCCCTGGGATGTGAAAGAAATGCCAATTCCAGTTGATTGGTAGGAGCTGCCTGGAGAGCTGTGCTGAGAAGGAGTCTGAGGCTGGATCCAGGTTCAGAAGGGTGGAGTTTAGGTAATTCATTAGTAATGCCTGCCATGGCTTCCAATGGATGGATGTAGTGGAACAAATGGTGGGTATTTGACACTCCTGGACTCCTAGGCTAAAGTCCTCACAGATTTCAAAAGGGTGGCGACTTCAGAGGCAGGTATAGTCTCCAGGCTGCCTGAGAGTGGTGAGGCTGTCCCTCTAAGCCTGCCCAAAAAGTAGCATTCCCAGCTCCCAACTGGCAGGACTGATTTTTCAGAGCTTTGAAGTGACATATCAGGGTCATAGATCGAGAACCAAATGCTTATAAATCTGACTAATTGATTAGTCA